CACGCACGCACGCACGCACGCACGCACGCACGCACACACGATGTGCAAATTCCAACCGACAACTTCCATGTGGTGCACATTGGGTTACGCTAACGTCGGCGGTAACTGTTATTTTTCAGAAAATGACAAGAGCACTTCAAAAATCCCGATCAAAAGAAGACATTACATAGTGATCCTTTAACTTCAGGATAGAGTAACGTCGTCAAAAATGGTCGTAATGAGATTTTTTAAAAAGCATTTTAAAGCGTAAAATCTCTATTTTCGAAATCGGTAATTGGTATTTTAATTTGACTGATTTTTTATGGAGTTATACGGACACAAATGAATATCTGTCAAATCTGTAAAATTTTGTATAAACTTCAGAAAGGTCTATGGCGTAGAGTAAAAGTCACACAAATTTGCCGTTTATAGTAGTCGAAAGAGTGAATCTTTACCTTCAATTTCTTTTTTTATTAATCGTTGTACGATTTTTTTCTACCGAGTTATTGAACGTTGAAGCAAAAGTGATCACTTTGGATCACTTGGATGAGCCTTACAACAAAATCAGAGGAGAGCAGGAAGTTCTTCTACGTAGATTGGGAGAAATAAAGTGAAATGAACTCCTTGAGATAATGTTTCCTTGAAATAAACGTATATTAATTGTAAAAGATTTTTTATTTCATAATAAAATATATTAAAATACAATGGGTGCATCCAGAAGCACAACCGCTCACTGAGCGCTCATTGAGCTCTTTCATCTAATTGATCTATATTTTAGAATCTAATGGAATATGCCAATCAGATGAAAGAGCTCACTGAGCGCTAAGTGAGCGGTCGTACTTCTGGATGCACCCAATGTATTTTCGTAAATGCTTTACCACTTTAACAGTCTTAATATTTCTTTTAATAAATCAGACTCTTTTAATTAAACTATGAATACTGCAATTATAACATAACTTATTAAATCTAAAGAACACATTCTTTGCAGTACTACATAAAAAGAAATGACAACTTCTTACAAATGTAGGTAAAATATTAAACTATAAAAACTGAAAACTCACAAATAAAATAATAATACTGAAAACTCACAAATTTTTCTATAATTATTTAACATATTTTGTAATATAAAATAACTGAAGAAACAACTTGTAAAAAAACTTGTATATATTAATGACTTTCTTTCTTGCCAAATAATTCCTTTAAAAGCTGTAATTTCTCTTGATGTTTCCTTTCTTTCGCCTCCTCCTTTTGTTTAAATAATTCCAATTTTCTTTCTTCATTGCTGAATTTACACCTTTTCTTTGGAAGAGAATATTTGACGTTTTTGCTTTCGTCAGTAGTATTTGAATCCTCGCCTGATAATTTTCGACTAAAGGCTTCTTTTAGGTATTTCACAGATTGTGCACTTCGAAGTACTTCTGGCTCAATGCTATCATCAGCTTGGCTAATTTCTCTTAACTCTTCTTCAAATGGGACTTTTTCCCGCGAATTGCCTGATTTATGGTTATTTTCCACCGCTTTCTTTTTTCGTTTCAGAACCGTTTTATAACGATTTTCAACCTGTAGTGATGTTTTTGAAACATTACAATCTTTTTGCAAATCTTTTGAAATCTGTGCCCACATTGTCTTCTTCGATTTAAATTTTTTCATTGGGCCTATTTGAGAAAGGTATAATTTATATTTGTCTAGCATAAATACAGTTGAGAAATCAGTCCAAGAATCTGAAAAATATTTGCACATATTATTTGAGAAATACAAATTATGAATTTTAACGAAATAAGTTGTATTTGCTTCGTTCTAGTATTAGTTGTACTACGAACTATCTTGTATATAATGTGATCAATATGAGTCAATTATTATTATCTTTCATTATATTTATATCGCGCGGCCTGAAAAATGCGCTTTAATTACTTAATTTAAAATATTAAGAACAATGTGAAGAATATCACCTCGTCGACTAGCCAACAGAGGTCTATAGTTACTCATGCCATTTCTCGCAAGTGCTTGATTACATGTGTAATTGTTTATATAGAACTTCTTTCTAACATCTCTCTAGGCGTCTAAGGTAGGCTCCCACTACATTACCTTACTGATGAGTCCAGTAGTGGAAGCCGGGACGAAACGCCAACTCGTGATATTCTTCACAATCTCAGCTTCTCTGAATTTAAATTATTAATTTAATATTAAATTTTAATATATGTCTTCCAACATATTATTAAGATCTAATAAGATGCTATAGGCATCAAAAATTGGTTAAATTGATTCTCAATTTAACTAAAGTGATATTACTGCGGTAGTGAATATGTATGCGTCAATGCTGAAAATCTATCAGCGTCGCGGGGGGGACTACATACGCAGTATATAAATTTCACACAATATAATAAACATTAACATCTTGTTTTCAAGACTCGATTAATGTGTACAAGTACGTTACTGAAATATGTATTTACCTGCATGTTTCGGACTGTTATTTTCTTCGAATATTGCTGAAGTTAAATCAGATTCATCTTCTTTGTCGGTATACTGTATATTTTGAAGGTTTTGATTTTTATTAATGTTTATATTGTATATCAATGTTTCCCTAAATAATAAAAATATATATATAATTGTAAAAGTATATATAAAAGATGAATTTCTTTTCTTGCTGGATATTTTTTTATCGTCATTCTGTTATCAGTTAAATTATTCTCGGCTAAATTAAACAAGTAAAAATTAAATTTCTGAATAACATTACTTATCTCCTTACAGCCGATATATTTCCTTTAATAAGTTCTCCTTGCCGCCATCGGTTATTACATACAATCCATTTTGAATTATTAGTTTCACATATTGAATGGCATATGAATCATCATCTGAAATAAGAGAATAATTAAGGACATCACTTTACGTATCAATTATCATATTATGTACAATTGTTGTTATATATGATAACATAAATAATTATTATTAGCAGTTTTCTGTTTATGAAGAAAAAATTGACACAAATTGACACACTCGGATACGATACGTGTATATGCGTGTGTGCGTATTTTAATATCTAATGCGTTTAAACACATATATAAATATATTTTACGTGCGTTGCATGTTTCACAAAAGAAAAACAGTTTTTATATCAAATTTTTTCCATAATTAGGTTATGAGATTGACAGAATCGATAGAATGTAGACTTACTCAATAATTTTTCGTATAGATCTTCCCCATCTTGAAATGTTAATTCTAAATCATTAGTATTTATTTTGAATTTTATCGACAAAGAATTATCGGAATTCATTTCAAAAAAGAACTTGAGGTGTTGAAAACAGGTTAACAGAAATGTGCTAATGGTGTCCACTCGCCATGACGTTGTTTCATTGGGCGTGCAAAAAACTTGCACTGTCGATAAACTCGGACAGTGTCAACTCAACTTCTGATATAATTGAAGAAAATACCGGTGAAAGTTTCAAAAGCGTGTCATGCTTATATTTATTATATA